TTTCGATTATTATTTTGCACCACATCTGTACGTACGGACAATAGTGGCCTCTTTATTCCAAAATGGATTCATTCTAAACTGGTTTCAGAAGAGATTTTGTTTCGTGGTATTTGTACATGCGTACATATGTATCCCACATAACTCAAAAACGAGTAGCCGTAAAACATTGAAATTTTGCATATGGGACTGCTAGAACATCTAGTTGTGCACTTTCCTTTTTAATTGCAATCGGAAGTACCAAAATTAAATTATATATATATAAATAAAGGCCGGGTAAGGGGGGCTGGTTATATACCCGGCCTTTATTTTCATTATCATTGGTCGCATTCGTATACTTCCAATTTCAGAAGTGTTTAAAATGAAGAATATATTCATGTTTTGTAACGTCCAATTAAAAAAATTAATTTGGACCAATAAAGAAATCTGACTTTTAATGCGGTCACCCGGTTTCTGTACTTGTATTTAAAAATTTTGTATACTCGATATGAAAAAATAAAAATAGGATAGACTCCTGTAAAACAAAAAATGACCGGAATATTTAATTTCAAATTTGCAATTTTTGACGTCATTTTAAACTTGCCTGGAGGGATCGATTAACCCTTTCCGGCGCAGTGTGTTCGGTGTGAACACACCAAAAATATTACCTCTTTAGACACTGAAAATAATTTATAAATATCACGAAAACTACACTAAATGGTTACTTTTAATCTCTTTTATGAATAAAAGATAGCAGCACCACACAAGCAAATCATTGACGTTGAGATATATTCTGTTTTGACACTGATTTTTCAAAGAAATGTTTCAGATTTTTTTTTTAAATATAAAGAATATCAATTAAAAAATCTTTATATAATTTTGTTGTTCGTATGCTAATCTGCCTATTCTACATTACTTTTAATTTTTATCTCTGAAATACTGCGTATAGTGATACAGAAATACAATGTATGGTGTATTCGGACTGAACACACTGTACTGGTAGCGCCTGTCACGTGGGAGTGAGTCTCAGAATCTGGTCTCGTGCTTCAAACACGGGGGAGGCTGAGAGCACAGATTTATTTATATTTGTTTTTAATCTTTTCTGTTTTTAGTTTTGAAGACCCCGGTGCTTTGCTTTCACTTAGCTATTTGATTCAGTGACAGTAGACCCTTTTTTTCTCTTGCTTTCATCGTGCGTAGTTTGCTTAGTTTTGATTTCTATAGATTTTTATTTGTATATATGTTTAATAATTATTTTTTCTAGTCAATAATTAATTGTAAATATTATAGTATTTTAATTATTTTTCTTATAAATTTTTTAAAATTGTGTAAATTGGCTGGGAGAAGAGGCCTCAGCAATGAGAGTTTCCTTTCCCCCCTGGTTTTTTTTTGGGGGGGGGTGTAGAAGTAGCAGGCCTCCCCGTTGGTGCACCCTAGGTTATGCTAAATCTGCTACAGAAGATCCTATTCTACTGTTTTTAAATCATAGACAAAGTATTTTACTGTAATAAGTGCTTTCATAGCAATGCTCATCCTATCGCAGCTCGTGCGGCTCAGTGTGTTCGCTTCAGATTCACCCACAAAATGGAAACGGTTTGTGCAATCTTTGTAAAATTATACCTGCATACTCTCCTAGACCTAAATAGACTGCCTACAAATTTTTTCGGTAAAATTGCAACTTTAAAGAGTAGCATGCCGGAAATGGTTAATTAAGAATAGATCGAAGAAATAAATTTAAGCAGAAAAAAATGTGTGCAATTTAATAGGCCGTATAAGGAAGTCATTGTGGTGTCCATATCAGATTTTTTTTCCTAGAGCTAGTCAATGGCCATAGAAGCTGCACAATACTGTTGAACTAAGCTACGTGTTACTAAAACATTCAGGTTAAACTAAGCACTGGTGCGATTAAAGCTACACAACATCGGTACTTTTAGCTGGGGTTCATATCCTGGATGTGGAACGTTCTGCATAGATGTTTCCATGTCGTTTTTCCAATATGGTAATAAAACCTAGTTGGCCTTGGCAATTCCTCCACGAAGTATCTCCTTCAAACTTCAAACTTGAAATTTGAACCTTAAATTATTACCCCTCTATTGTTGTATACTCCTGGAATCCAGGTAATGATACCAAAGATGCATAAAATAGCTTTCTGTTGCTTTATAGTACCCACAAATATTTTAATTCAGAATAATTCTTTTTTCTAAATTTAAAAAAATCATATTTGAACACCATATGACATCATTGTATGGCATGTAAATTATACACATATTTTCTGCACATCATTTAACGCATTTTCTCGAATTGGTCGAATCTGAATAACCGATACTTCAAGAAAAGTTAAAAATGACATCAAAAATTCCAAATTTTGAAATTAAAAGTCAGGATCAGTTTTTGTCGTACAAGAGTCAAACTTCTTATAACTTTATTTCTTCATAACGAATATAAAACTTTCCCAAATAATATTATAGAAAAAGTATAGGTAGAAGAGGTTAATGATAATCAAAGGGTCAACTGAAGGTGGATTGCTGGCTATTGATCAACGTAATTAAAGTCTCATGGATTACCAAAAAATGCATTCATAAAATTGATAATTAATAATTTATTGTTATAAATTTCGATCATATAGTAAGGAAGAAATGTAAAATAAATATAAGGGGGAAAATGCGCTACAATTATTTAATGCATTTTAAATATACAAATTTTTTGTGCAATAAGTGCAATATAAAAATATAAAACAAAAGAGCCAAAGAAAAGATAACACAAAAATACGAACACAAAACTGGAATGGAAAACAAGAAACAGGAAGAATGTTTCTGAACGATGCGATTTAAAAATTAAATTTTATGCCAGATATTTGAAAAAGAATTCCTCACTACATCGAGCCATCACATTTATTAAAATCAAACTTTTATGCAGGTAGAATCTGTCTTTTCCCTGAAATTCTGTTTATATTTTAAAATTAATAATAATAAAATAAAAAATAATTAAACATATAGAGTCTGCTTCTTTTCGGTAGCATACACTAAGTCGACTCCTAAAAGACGTAATCGATTTATCGCTGTGTGAATTACACAGAAACGTAAGAAGGGTGTAAAACACATTTTTATTCAGAACTCAATAATTGAACGGAAGATATTTCTTGTGCTTACAAAACCAGCCAGCATTAATGGCGTAACTCAAAAAGTAAGGAATTCAAATTTAAACTAAATCTAAGTCGTAAATTAGCCAAAGGCTACACTGAAATTATTAGCGCGCAAACTGGCTCAAACCTAAATCGGTGGGATAATCACTATTGGTAAGAATAAAGCCGACGATAGAATGCTAGAATGCTGTCGTAGAAATTAAGTTAGTAACGTGTCCTTAGCAGGCGAAACACGCTCTGTCTTAAGCAATCTAACAAACTCCCTTTAAATGCTAGTTTTCTCTACCTCATTTAAATACGCACGAGTTAATATTTACAATCTGGCAGGAAAACGGTAAGGGAGAAGTGAAAAAAAATGCGTACCATAAAAGATACTTTACAAAATTAATCTAGTAAAACTTTTTTTTTCCAAAATTTAAGAAAAAGGTTGCAAATTCGTGTTCTAGAGTATATTTTTCAAGTGTTCGAATCCACCCGTTCTCCTGTTGCGCTGTATGCGTCTAGAATAGTCAAGTCAAACTTAGAAAAGTTTATACGTAACTGGAATCAGGAAATAAGAAGCGGATTGAATCTTTTGGCGTAGTCTCTGCTGTTTCCGCTCTTCACCTTCTATCAATTGCAGGCATTCCTTTTAGCCAAGTCAGACGATTAATTGAAACTTTTTCAAGCCTTTCAGTCTTCTGCTCTTTTCATTTGCAAATTAGTCCTTTCGCTGCATAAAAGAGAATGAGTTTCTTCGTGGAATCATATGCTTATTGCTGCAAGAAGTAGATGTCTTTAGAAAATATTAAAGCTTCTGACTTATATTCAGATGTTACTAATTTTTAACATTAGAATAAGAGAGTGGTCAAAATGGCATATATTAGACGCACATTTCGTATTATAAGTGCATGCACAAACTATAAATTTAATCCAAATAGTTATATTTTGATTTACTATTTAGCAATAGATATAAAATAAGTAATAATGAACCTACTAAGATTAAATACTGTACACTTAGGTTTACTACTTGAAAAAATTGTCATTTTGACGATTTGATTGTTATAATGAAAATTCATTTCATTTAATGTTACCATCTAAACCATCTGTACAGTGTACTATCATATGGCATTTAAGGACAACGAAATTTCCTCACAAAAAAGAAAACATGTTATGTTCCTGAAACTGTATAAATAGCTAAAATGCGAACTGGTATGGTAATGAGTGTAGTGCGATTGCTCATGACTGCACACTTAAGAGCGACGCTGCAAGTGTTAAATAATATTCTAAAGATATATACCATTTAAAGAAAAAACTAGTTGAAAAGCTAACTGTGTAAAAGTGTTATGCACAGAGGTTGTAAGCTAATGTGGAGTATCGCCTTGTGTCCACCTTTCTAGTATTTTAAGGAGTAGTATACAATTTCTAGTACAATTTAAGGTAATGAATGGTTGTGAAAAGAATTCCGTCCTAGAATTTCAATTATTTGCCTTTAGAGGTAAGTAAAACAATGGCTTTCGTTTAGATTATTGATTAGATCTACAAGTTGTTTTGTAATAGCTAACATTTAGCATTTCAATGAATATTAAGTTTCGCTGCCTAAATTTGAAGGTCCATAGTTAGTTCAAATCAATATAAAGGTGTGTTATAGGTACGAAACAAGAATTCTGTAATTCTTGATTATTATTTTTTAAATGATCACATACAAAATACTACAGGCATGTAGTACAGCCTATACATGAAATATTCTATAACTTACAAACAAAATTACCATTTTTTAAAATTTTATATTCTGCTAAAATCAGCTTTATTTGAGAAAGGATATTAGTTTTGCATTTTTTGATCCTGCAATTAGTTTTCTTGATTGAGATACTGGCGTATAATCAGAACCTTTCTTTTACAGGTGGAACTCATTCTTCAAGGCGATGATGTAACGCGGCAGATGTGGCAAATGTACTCAGTGTTCGAGGAAATTTTTGGGCGTCAGACCATGACTACCTCAAACAATGAACCTCTAAAGCACGTAGTGGTAGGAGATCGAATAAAAGGGTCCTCTATGAAGCCCAGTAAGAGCAAGAGCTCCGAACGTCCGACAATAGATACTGCAGCTAGTCCCCAGATTTCATCATCTATGACAGTATCTTCTATACCTAGTACTCCAGGTAAGTTTTCTGCTGTTGAGTAGTTGCACTTATATGTACACTGCTCAAAAAAAAAGGGGGGGACAGTGCTATATCTCCCGTTCTACTGGGCCGATTGACAAAATTCAAATTGCGTTTTTCATGTCTCGAAAGCGCGACTTAAGATATATATTAGATTTATATATAGGACTATTCTAACATAGGTATTCTGACACAAAATCGGACTTTTTCTGAAATAACATACCAATTTTTTTCCATATTTCGATTCTACGTCTCAAATTATGCCAGAATACCAAGTTTGGTAAAAATCGTACGAGTAGTTTTAAAATATTAGCTCTCAAAATTTCAGCTCCTCAATGTTTGGCAAATATTTATTAATATCTCTTTTTTTATTAAACTTTTTTTATTTTTTCTCTCACATTTCAAAATTTAGTTCATTCCAAATAAAATTTATCCTTTTTTTTTTTTTTTTTTTAATTTTTTTCATTTGCAAATTAGTCCTTTCGCTGCGTAAAAGAGAATGAGTTTCTTCGTGGAATCATATGCTTATTGCTGCAAGAGTAGATGTCTTTAGAAATATTAAAGCTTCTGACTTATATTCAGATGTTACTAATTTTTAACATTAGAATAAGAGAGTGGTCAAAATGGCATATATTAGACGCACATTTCGTATTATAAGTTGCATGCACAAACTATAAATTTAATCCAAATAGTTATATTTGATTTACTATTTAGCAATAGATATAAAATAAGTAATAATGAACCTACTAAGATTAAATACTGGTACACTTAGGTTTACTACTTGAAAAAATTGTCATTTTGACGATTTGATTGTTATAATGAAAATTCATTTCATTTAATGTTACCATCTAAACCATCTGTACAGTGTACTATCATATGGCATTTAAGGACAATTTTAAATAATTTTTATAAATTTTTCGAAAAAAATTTTGAATTATAACCTATAAAATTTTTACCATCATCTTAAAGTAGGTGTATTTTTAAGCATATCTGCAAAAAATTAGACTTTTCTATTCAAAATTTTCTAAGATATACACGAATTTACATATTTTCGAGTTTGGAATTTGGGCATCTTTTTTTTTGAGCGATAATAACGCCAAATGTGGTCTATGGATTTTTGTTACAGTGAATTGCCACAGCTATTTTAACCTTAAATTTCAAGTAAGATTTTACGAAAATTAATTATATAACATTTTTTTCCCTCAATGAAGCGTAATAAATATTTATTAATACTATATGAAAGCTATTTTTTAAATTATGGATGATATTATTCAAATTTTTAACTATTTTTTTTTTTAAAAATTTTTTCTCTATATTCCTTTTTTAAAAAATAAGAGTAATTTTTACCTTCGGCGTTTTTATCGTCTGCTACTTTACTTCGTTTAAATCGAATTGTCTAAAACTGAGAATTTTCGTTTGATATTTATTTGAATTTTATGACATTAACTGCATAATTTATTTCTAAACAAACTGTTTGCTTTTGAAGTGGCTGAAAGAGCGGCTGATACTATCATCCACATTTTTAAAGCACAGTATATTTTTATACTGTAGAAACATAAGATTTAGAATAATAATTTTTATAAAAGTCAAAATATGATATAAACATACAACCCTCTAGAGAGTGAATTAATGAAAGTTCAATGGTTATGTAGAAATGATCTACAGCTACTTAATGACTGGATAAGTCAGCAGTTTCTGTGGACAAGTAAGAATAATTATATAAACGCATCCAACATTCTGGATTCAATTAAAAACGAGCATACGATGTTTATTAAATGAATTTAAGAAGTTTTAAAGCATAAAAAACCAACTCATTTTTACCTAAAATGTATTTTTGTGCGTAGCGTATTTTCATTATATCCTTAAATTCTAATTTAGAATGTAATTGTCAAGAACTGAATCCTAATCATCAGTAATATAATAGTAATTATTACAGTTATTAATAAATTTCTTATAAAGTAGTTGCAAAATTTCAAAAACTTTCTGTCTGAATGCAAATATTTTTCTATGCAAATATTTTAAATTTTATATTAATCAGATTGCACCGATATTATTTATTTGCACTTCAATTCTTACCGTCAGTTCCAGTAGAAGTTACAAATCAATTACATTTAATTAAGGATTGGATTGGATTATTTAATTATAGCAAAGCACACGAGGGCTATCTGCTTAAAGGGAGGGATGCCTTCGTGGAGGACTTTCTAAGGTAAACTGGCTCGTATACACGTTATACATGGGGAAATCCACGAAAACGCCGATGCGGCCACCCCGTTCGCGAGATTCGAACCTCGGACCGAACTACCAATGATCAGCGTCTTTACCGCTCGGCCGCTGGTGGGCTATTTAATTAAGGAATGACCATCTAAGTTTAAAAACAGCGTACAGTAACAGCAATTCAATTATTGGCGCCGTATCTTTCATGTTACTCCACTCCCGATTAGCAAGCTACATGATTTTTAATGAGTATTCGGGTTTTGCTAGTAACTTCCCTTGGAAATCGCGCTTAAACTAGGTTAGTTGGTTATTTGAACATAGAAAGAACATGGGGAGCTATTTGATTAAGATGCTTTCATAGAGGACCTTTGTAAAGAGAACCTAGAAAACTACGAAAACCAACCATGCAAGCAAGCTGGGTTAGACTTCGCAACAAACAATTAGTATTTAACAATCTTCAAATGCTAGGCAACTGGTGAGGCTCCAATTAAATCTCCAATTTAATATTTTATTTGTAAATACTTAAAATATGTTGCATTCTTAGACACAAAAAGCAGATTTAAGTTTTGTTACTTGTCAGTAAACTACCAAGCCGTAGTGCAAATGAATATTCAATTTCTTTTGCAATAATTGTATTCACTTAATATTCTTGCAATATGAGCTAAAGAAGGAACGTTCTCGGAAGATTAAAGAATGTTTAAATCCAGTGATATTACGTTTGTCTTACAAGCTAGGATCAAAACGATTCTGCAATTGCTCCAGTAGTTGGACTTGTAAATGGCTGTGAATTAAGCAGATGACTTTTATCTTCGTTTTCAGTCAGAAAACGTATTCCAAATGTTTTGTATTGTATGGCAATGCATCTTTTCATTATTCAATAACCCAATCGGAGAACCGCTTGTGCTCCGAAATAAGTATGTGTACTCCATTGTTCTGCATGTTCTTCAAATTTGTCTTCTTATGATTTTTTCCTCCCCAAAACTAAAGGCCTCTCAAGTAAAGTTTTTTGACATTGAAGAGACAAAAGGAGTATGACATCTACTTTTAGAGGCATGTCAAAAACAGATCTCTACAAGCCTTTTCTTCCATTACATGTTGTGCATTCAGACAAATAGTTGCATCAGCGTAAATTCTATAATCTATTTTTTGTTACACTCTTATTACTTTATTAACATACAGTGAATATATACTAAACCTTTTACTTCAGCTTCAGTAATTCGGAATTTTTTACAGAATTGTCGGAACTAGAACTTGGAAGATAAGTCAAATTGAATATTTCGATAATTCAATAAATTCATGGTCGAAGTTTCAATATTTTATTTTCGGAGGGAGGGGAAATTTTTTCAGTTTTGATCTAATATCCTAAGTATATTTGCTTCGATTCTTTATTTTTTCCATAAAAGCGAAGATCTTACGCATGGTATACATATAACTCATAGCTTCAAATTAAAATTTAATAATATACAGGGTGGTTATAATTAAAATTTCACTTTGAAACGGTCATAAAAGGAAAACTACTGGATCAACTGTTATCAAACTTTGTAACCGTGTAAAGGATGTCATGGGAATTTATTTTCCGCGAAAAAAAGAAAGTTGGAAACCTCACCACCAGGGCAAAATGGCGCTGTATGCAATATTGTTAAACGAAATATGGGTCGGAATCTAACTTAACCTTTTGTTACACGGGTTTAATATGTTGTATACCCTTGAGAAACTTTGAAGTAGGCAAATTACCATTTAAAAAGGCGTTAAATTCGATAAAAGTCGAGTGCGCCATCCGTGTAAGTGAGAATTCGTCCGTGAAAACCACGAATTACCGATTAGAAAATGTGAGATCGCAAATCACTCGCACAAGTGCGTACAATCTGGAAATCGTTTTCTTACAGATCGCTAATTAGTAATTTTTGAAGTCTGAATTCGGCAATAAAACATGAAGATACTGATTCAAAACGCTTTTAATCGATTTGGGCCAAAGAAATCTCTCATGTTATCTATCTAGTTCCACTGCATTCTCCTACTGCATTCGATTGCATAGCAGTCATTCCACACCGTTTAGTGTTGAATGACAGCTAGTATTATAACTGAACCATTTTCTCTGAAGAGCAGTCGACAGCTGGACCACTGTGATTGCAGCTCACTGAGAGTCAATGTTGAAATGTTTCGTGATACATGAACTGCAGTAACGTGGTATTTTAGATACTACGATTTTTATGCAGGGCTGGGCCCCACCTCACGTGTGTCGCACAGTTACTTAGGCAACATTTCACGAATGAAAGTCTTATAAGCCAACACTTCCCCTCTTCCCACCAGACCTCAACCTCTGTGACTCTTGGCTATGGGGTTATCTCAAAAGCACTGTTTATGGTGATAATCTAAACAATTTGGCAGAAATGAAAAATGTGATACACTAACATGTCCGTAACATTCCTCCTGATATGCTAAGAGCTGCTGTCGAGAATACAGTAACAGGATTTCACTTTCGGAAAATGCTGAACGCTACATTGAACCTGCTTTGTAACACGTTTCGGAAAATATTCAACGCATTTTAAACAGATGTTTTCGTGTCTTATTTCATTTAACAATATTGTATACAGCGCCATATTCCCCCTGGTGGTGAGTTTTTGAACTCTTTTTTTCCGCATAAAATAAATTCTCATAACCTCCTTTACACGATTCCCAAGTTTGATAACATTTGGTCCGGTAGTTTTCCTTTTATGACCATTTCAAATTGGAACTTTAATTATAACCACTATGTAAATTAAACTTTAAAAGTTTGACAGTTTGGT